TACCGTTTACAATAGGGTTTTCAAAGGCATTGCCTATTACTCTTAAAATATACTGACCTATACTGACCTATCTGCGGATTATTATGGCAATGAGAATCAACCTTTTGTACTCTTCGAATAGGTTGTAGAGACTGTCCAAGATAAAAAGTGCTCGTGGGATCAGAGACTAGGACACAAACGTCTCCCCTCCACGATTTCAGACAGTTATGGGTAGTATTCGCTTCTCAGATTAGTCCCAACTAGTTCAATCAGTGACCAGAAAAGGCTGTATATGAGATCGCCTTTTGCCAGTGACAACTGTTCTTTAGGATTTACCACTAGGTACTTCATCCAAGCGATAACACAAAAATCCACTGTTGCCTCCTAGTTTCTTTTCCTTAGATGTCAGTGTTGAAGCGGAACAACCGTAAGCTCGCTCATGTTTAAAAAGCATCGGTAAACAGTTTTACAAGCCCTCCAGATCAGTGCAGCTTTTTGGTGAATGATCGAACCTTTTCCAGGACCCATTGCAATATTTGACTGTAGGAACCCTTGACGTCCACAATTCTGAAAAAGACGCTCAAATCGAATGCTGCTTCCTTATTATAGCCCCTACTTCTCCGTACAAGTCAGAAAATTACGAAGATATATTTATAATCCATCTACAAGCCTCAAACCGATCCACTCAATAATTGCTGAAATATTTGAAGTAACTTCGAAAACGAGGCTCGAAAGATGTGAGCGAAGGGTCTCAAACTCCTGGTGCCCATAATCCTTCCAAAACTATCAAACGGGTTTACCGTCCCCAACCTTCCTTTCAGTCTCATCTTAGCTCTCTTCAATTCAATAACGGCTTTAATTTCATTGCTAAAGCGTCAGGGTAGAAGAATTGCTGAATGTCTACTTTGTCAATTTATTTATTTCTGAAATTGACCTGTTCCATCATTTCCTCCTCGCCTGGCGTACCAGCAAATACGCCCTCCTGATATCTCAAAATCCTTCGGAACCGGTAGTGCGCCAGAATGAGGAAGGTCTTCCCAGAGTCCTTGGAAAATGGGGTCATCTTCTGATTTATGGAAACGCCTCGTCTCTATTCTGTATCTAAGCCTGACTCCGTTCCTAATTTTCAAAATCATCGGCTCCTTCGTAAATGATCCCGTCTTGCTAATATGTTAAAACGTATTTGAGGACAAAATTGTTAATTTTGTTCTCTTAACTACACTTTTAGGTCTTCGAACATGGCTCCCCGTCAAATTACCCTTTCTAAATCTGTCATTTATCACCTTTGAAATTCCCCCTTCTTTCTATATTACACGCCAATCGGTGGTTGTTATTTATTAGGATCTCAGTTAAGTCCTCTGAAAGGAGCCAAACCTCCTTCGCGAAATTTGGGACTGGCATAATTCTAATTTGTCTCTCGAATTCATTAGGCCACATCCATATCATCGTATATATGTCATCAGAATAATGCCCTGACTTTCAAATGAGCGCTCCAATTACACAACTTTCTTCAGGGAGCCCTGGTAGATTGCTATTTATCTCTACGACGTATTACGAATATTTCCTGTATACACGTGTGGCCACAAACACGGGCTGTTCTGTGGATGCTCCAAACAGAAACAGGGGTCGATTGGTTCATGGCACGCATCATCCAGGCTGTACAGAGTCCATGCGCTTGCATAATCATTGATGTGCGCAAAAAAGCAGTTCGTTTCCCATAATAATGAATCTGACGGGCATGAATGCATCACAGCGGGTTAAGAGTCGTGGCTCAAATCTTTCCAACTGACGAAATAATTGAGTTCTTACTGCAATTAAATGCGTGAATGGAATGACCTATCTAAGGACTGAGATTCAGACCCTCTGACTCCTTACAAACGTAGTCTTTATTGCACGTTCACTGATATGGGATACGAGACGCACTGTGAAAGCTGGGTGCATCCTACGAAAACCAGATAGTTTGTAGTATGCTTAGACGGACTGTTTGACATTGCCATGCACTACGTCCGAAGCCACCTTCGATTGTCGGAGCTAGGTTCATGTGCAGATCGCCTTTCTGGGGCACACGCGGACTTGGTCAGTGGCTACGGTCGAACTGTCGCACGCATGCAGGTATGTATGCATGCTGCATATATTTAGGGTAGAGGTGGTCTCTAAAACGGACTACGCGGTAGATTCGTTGAACCTACGCAAGAACTAGATTCAAGTCAGTGGGTTGTTACCAGGAATCCGAGCCCATAACAAATGCCTATGTTGGAATGTGGTGGTACGCCCAGTTGCAGGCTCACATCGCTCAAACTGGGATCCGTACCGCCCGCTATTCTTGTAGTGGTATAAAATCCTGGTCAGTGCCCGTTGGGGCACTCCTAGGTTCGGGTTTACGCCGTGTCGGCCACCTGCGGCCTTCCTCGACCCTGGCCTTTGTGACTTGATCATGATACCAGGCCCCGAGTGGGGATGAGAGAGCGCAGTAGACGCTGTGCAAGTCCGCCATCATTATAAACTAACTCATGCGAAACTCATCATCCCTGTCTCCACGATGCTGTGGAGTACACGGTGGGCGTCACCAAAGTCGACGGTCGAGCTGTCGAGAGTCAAGTGCGGAGCCCATGCTTTTCCCTTTGGTGCAAGTTGCATTTATACATTCAGTCACATACAGCCAGTGAAAAACATGGTTATTTGCAAAATATTCGTAGACAGTGGGTCCGATCATGTAGTCGCTATGCTCTCAAAACGGAAAATCCGCAAATTTAAGCTTCTGATTCTCGTCCGCACTATCTCAAGCGCCTTCTTAGATGCTTAGCTTACGTTGTTTGACCCGAATTACCATAGCCTTTTGGTCTAGAAGCCTATTTATTTGGATGATTTTAATAACATGAAAGAGGAATAGAGGACTATTTCAGTGACCAACCTTCTGGTTTTGGGCCTTTGTTATCGAATCAGTTCGTAGATACTTGACATTCTAAAACTCAGTAAGGAGCAAATTGAGTTAGGATCACCCCAATCTCACGGCTTGGTGAGTCTGATATCTGAAATTATAATCGCATTTTAATTCTTTTGTCATCAAGATTAAAATGCTGCCACGGTAACCAGAGACTGAGGTCGAACAACTATGGGCCTGTCCTACTGTATGTGGCTGTGAAATATTAGCTTAGGTTGCGTTGTTTTGCATACCCGCTTCAGGACTTCCTTTGAAAAAACAACACACCAGACGCCGCAAGAGGCAGAAAAATGAGCTGTAGCGTCAAGCACTAGAAAAGGAAAATAAATCATTTTATTGCTGTCTTATTCGCTTTGTATTACGCGTCGGAAGATGCAACAACGAGAAAGATAATTTGCAGGTATTTGTCAATATTACCGTGCTAATCTTAAACTCAACAGAAGCACCACTCTCACATCAGTAGATTAGGGATAAGGCTGGGAAACGTGGTCCTGCTGAGAAATGGAGAAGCCCAGGCGTGTCCTATAAGGGGACTGTGGTACAGGGGGCATTAAGAATAGAGCTGTAGGTAAACAGTAAAAAACGTGAAAAAAATAAAGGCAAAACTCGGGCATTATAGGTAAATATGCTAGTTCGTTTTAGTTGGTACTAAACTCTCGGCGCAAACAGCTCGCAATACAAAAATCTATGGCAGGTATATAACGTCCTTCTTCTCTCCAGCTATATGCCGTAATTCATGTCCATCGGGGATGAAGCAGCCTTCGGGGTATTGATCACAACAATATCGACGCTTGGTGACTATAACCTGCTCTTAAATCGTTCGTTTTCTCCGCGTCTAAGTAATATCCATGGCATCAGCTTACAATCAGTCAATAATAGAAGCTGAGATTCGTAAGCCTATTAATATAACAAAAGCATAGAGCGACCATATACGAAGTACTAAACGGACCTATGAGGTGATCCCTGCCGATGGAAAAGTAGAGACTGATGACCAGGTTAAAGCCTCCCCCCTTTCTAACTTCTCTCAGCCCATCTTCACCCGAGAACTTAGTTCTATATTTACCCATCCATCCGTTCAACAACGTCATCCTTCTCTTCTCCCCTTTTACCCGCTTCCTACCCTCCTTAACTGAGGAACCACTGCGTTCGTCGACCATAGTTAGAATCGAACTACTCTGGCTGAAACCTGCCAAATAGTCTGGACCAGACAGAATTCCTGCACTAGCACTTTGTGAACTTGTTAATGAACTGTGCGAACCGCTGTCCGCAAAACTTCAAAAGTCATGTGAAGAAGGCGAGATAGCGGAGGAATGGAAGTATGCACTAATTACTCCGATCCAAATTGGAGGCTCACGACTTGGCTGCGGAAATTATCGTCCAGTCAGTCTTACTTGTATCGCGTGTAAAATAATGGAACTCATTATCAAAAGACATTTGATGAAATACTTGGAAAGAGCAAAATAGCGTGTGATGACCAAGATGGATTTCGTCCAGGACGCTCCTGATTAACGAATTTTCTTTACTCGCACGAGAAATGGACACGATCTACCGATAATGTTTATCCACTTGATGTCATATGTTTGACTCCAAGAAGACCTTTGACAGTATCCACAAGGCTTCTTTCACAGAAGATCTGGAATGTGGGAATTCAAGGAAGAATTTTTAAATGGATCAGGACTTTTCAGTCCTCCAGAGTGCAAAAAATCGTCGTAAGTAAATCTGCCTCGGAAATGGCATAGGGGGAAGGTCGCGTCCCACATGGTTCCGTGTTAGGCCATTTACTCTTCCTGATTTATGTTAATGACTGTGTAAGCAAAGAGGATTGCAAGACTCTTATGTTCGCGATGATGACGCAAAGAAGTTGCAGTAGAACATCTACAAACTGCATATTTGGTCGAACAGATGGTTTTTGAAGCTTAACTTGTCCAGATGCGTGGTCATGCACTTAAACTCCTTCCGAAATACCTCTCCCAAACACCAGTGCTATATTAACGGAATCGCATTAGAAAATGCAGAAAGACGCAAAGATCTGGTTGTATGGAGGCCACAAAATCTGATGCCATCAGAACATTGTAGAAAGATGGTTCAGAGGGCAACGAGTACTTTACACTGGATCGGAAGTGCATTAAAATATTCCCTCCCAAACTCTTCGAATGACTTTGTGGCGTCCTTTTACTACTACTACTACTACTACTACTACTACTACTACTACTACTACTACTACTACTACTACTACTACTACTACTACTACTACTACTACTACTACTACTACTACTACTACTACTACTACTACTACTACTACTACTACTACCACTACTACTACTACTACTACTAATAATAATAATAATAATAATAATAGTTTTATTTAATTCCAGTTGCAGGCGTTTTCAGGGAAGCGTTAAACGCAAACACGGCCAGCAGTGAAAAACTCCTGTGGAAAGGAATAAAAGTATACTTGATGGTTTGTATGGTTTGGGGGGTTCAGAAGAAAAAATAACTGATGGCGACAACATTTTGACCGTCAAGAAGGGAGGGGCTGTACGGTATCGAATAATATCAGTCGCCAATTTCTTTCATGAAGTTAGGGCTAGTCCAAACAGAGGCGCCAAAGAACATCTGTCGCTATTGGCCAAAGAAATTTTCCCTGGTGATACCATCCGTAGTGTTCAGAGAGCACAAACGCCATCGCTACGGTAGAGTCGATCACAGGTTTCAGCACCCAAAATGTGTGGGAGCTTTTCTGAATACAAAAATTGAGTAATAGTTCTCTTAAGTAAAGGATAATTTTGCATATTTTTCACACTCATGGGTAGTTTATTCCAAATAGCAATTGCATTTACAGGAAAGAACCGACGATATTTAACAGTACGTGCCAGAGGAAGAAATAAAAAGACCTCAGGGCGGCTGCTACGTTGGGGATGGACAAGACGTCCTAAAGATTGGGTGGGTTAAATGTGTGATAATATAAGAGTTTCAGTAGCAAAAATTGTCCCTTTCGTAATCTACGAAACCATAAAGATCAAGGTCTGTAAACCGACAACGTTCTTGGTAAGACAAATGTCGGTGTTCCGGGGTTAAAATTCTCTTGAAAAAAAAGTGTTGAACGGATTCTATTTTATTCCGCTCAGTAGCACGCATGAGGCTAAAGAAAAACTAGCAGTATTTCAGGCCAGGTCTAACGTACATATTGAAATGGCGCATTCTAATGTCCCTTGTTTTGAAGTTTCGGAGGATAAACCCGGTCGTTCTACGTGCTTTGGAGACTATCCAGGCGCAGTGTTCCGAGAGATTGAGATTCTTGGAGCATGATACGCCCAGATCCTTAATAACCCCAGGCACATTTATACCATGACCTTCAATGCTTATTTGAGGTTAGTGGTCGTCGCCAACCACCATGACTGAGCACTTATGCCAAGAAAGAGAAAGGCACCATGTGTGGAACCACTGGGCAAAAGCCTGTAGATCGCTCTTTAGGAGCTCAAGCACGATGTCACGATCTGCTGCCTTATATCGATATGCAACTTTAAGATCATCGGCATACATGAAAGGCTTACCATTGTGAAATACATCGAGTACATCATTAACGAAAAGGCAAAATAAAAGTGGGCCGAGTACACTACCCTGAATGACTCCACTCCTCACACATGTGGGGTTGGAGAGAGTATTGGAAATATTAACCCGTTGTGTACGAGTGTCAAGGTAAGAGGATATAAAATTATAAGGTTTGTCACCTATTCCGAAAGAGGACAGTTTCAAGAGAAGAAGAGCATGGTCAACACGGTCAAAAGCCTTAGTGAAATCGAAATATACTGTGTAAAGCGCAAAAGCATTGTCCCTAGATTGGATAAAATAGTCAAAGAATGAGATTTGACAGGTGTCACAAAATCGAGCTTTGAAGAATCCATGCGCAGCAGCACTGAGTAGGTTATTCTCTGTTAAGTGAAACATCATCTTGTCTTTGATAAATGTCTCTAATATCTTCGAAACTGCGGGGAGGGTGTATCTTGGTCGAAAGTCATCAAATGACGTAGATTTGCCGTGCTTAGGAATGGGCAAAATGTGTGATTCCTTCCACAACGTAGGATAAGCTTCACTTTCAAGAGCGATATTAAATATCTTGCATAAGAGGGATGGGAAAATCGTATTTGCATCGGCTTTTAAATGCTTACTGGGACACCATCAGGGCCTGGACTATAAGATTGCCGAAGACGCCGAATCACAACAGTCACATCCCAAAAAGTGAAAGTAAAAGTTTCTAGAACTGTCCCGGTCAACGCCCCGATGGTCGGAAGCGGAGTTGTCGAGTCTTCAATAAACGCTTTGGACAGGAAATCACGGATGTCATCAGCGGTCAACTGGGCATCAATTGTGGGATTTCCGTGAGCGTCCCGGAGTATGGGATGCTGCGTCTTTCTATGAGTTCGTATTTTTCTAGAGAAAGTTTCGAGACATTTAACGAATGATGTTCGCTAAACTGGACTTCTTCGGCTAGCTGTTTTTTCCCAGACAATCTCTTAGCCCGCTTGAAAAATATGAAAAATCAAGGGCAGAACAGAAACGTCGTTCTGAAGATGGAATCGGCAATAAAGTCTGCGCAATCGGCGAAGAAAGGGTAAGGGTAAGAAAACCACATCCCCGAAATTAACTATTTTCTTACAGGGGACAAAACAAGAAATAAGCGGATCCAAAATTCGTACAGTTTTGCAGTGCACACATTTACCTCCGAACTAAGGAAGAAATCAGTCCAGTCGTAGGAATTAAGGTGTGTTAGTAATTCGGTTGAGCGAGTTGATCGGAAATCGCGGAAGAAGTTATACTTTGGGGACAACGTTTTGTCAGCCTCGAATTCCAATGTCGAAACAATTATGTCATGGTCTCAGGCCCCGAGTGGGCCAAGAGATTACAGAGACAAAGGCATGCAGCCTCTACAGAAAATCAGGTCAAGTCTGCTTGATCCTCGGGTGGGAAAATCGACAATCTGAGTCCACATCCCAAAATCCACAGCCTCAAGAAAGTCTTCGAACCTTCTGGGGCCTGAAAACGGAGACCAGCGGACTTCGGGGAGATTAAAGCCACCCGCAACCAATTGATACTTAAAGGTTAAGTAGGCCGCAGCATGAAATACCTGTGAGAGTAAACGATCAAAATTATCGTTGGCGCTGGGAGGGCGATAGACGCAGCCAACGAGTGAGGAGAACTTATTTTTAGAGCAACCTGGAGCCAGCAGCTTCCTTCTACTGCGGTAAAATTCGGGAGGTCAAACGGCAAAATGTAAGTATTTGCTTAACGTAGACGCAGCTGCCCCCACCAAGGCTGTCTTGGTGATAATTTCGAATGGAATTATAGTTTAGAAGCGAGAGTTCGGAGTCAGCTACGGAGGCTGCTGCCCATGTGTCAGTTACTAAAACAATATCTGGACAATTGATGAACACCAGAGTCTGAAGCAAAGGCATCTTATTAAGCAAGGATCTGGCATTCAAAACAAAAAAAGTTTTAGGGGAAAGGCTGTTTGTTTCTGAGGGAGGTGGACTACGCTGTCCAGTGCTTGGTTGTCCACAGAACAAACGGTCCGGATGTACCCATCCGGTTCTGCGAAAAATTTTGTGGCATCAAACGATTCTGACGTGGATAAAAAGGGGTAGGACTTGGGGGAGGAAATGACGGGCAGGCAAACTCGTAATCATTGTTAGCTAACTCATTTTCGGCTGGAAATCCGCGGGCCAGATACTGCAGCACATCCCCGCTAGAACACAACTGAGGATCGGATGAGTTAACTGATCCAGTATGGACATTGGCATGAGGAATACATTGTTAAACCGGCCGTGGAGGAAACAAGTCAGGAGTGGGGGACGCATTGTTTCCATTTGAGCAAGAGTTCTATTAAAAGGCGGAAAAATCGGCACATTCGGCCTAACTGCCTCGATATGAGGGCTGAGGGGCAGTTTGAGACACGCTACTTTTTGAGTCGGGTTGTTTGAGGCACTGTTGGCCGATTGTCGTGCTGGATTTATCGGCTGTCCGAGTGGCTGAGACAGCAATTGGATTTGCTTTTGAATTAGACACATACTTAGGCTTACTATGGGTTGCTGGGGGAGTCGATAGAGACGTGGTTATACCAGGCGTGTTGTTGTGTTTATATATCTCAGCATTAAGAGTAGTCGAATTCCCTACGGAATTGACTATGCCGTGACATGCAGAGGCCGCAGATAGTGTTGTAGAGGACTTATTCAAGCTGACGGTAGGTGTCATTATCTTAGTGGTGGTTTTGTAAAATCCCACCTGGAGTAAGGAGTGTCAGCAGCTTCACCATGGATGAGGAAGTATATTGACTTACTCGAACAGGTGCAACGCAGAGCTACGCAGATGGCTGACGGTCTAAAGCATTTACCTTACTAGGGGAGCTGAGTGTGCTCGGCTTATTCCCTATCTGTTATAGGCAGTAAACTACAGTCTGCTCTGAACATTCCGAATTCTTCATGGCCAAGGTTGCTCATTAACAACGGAGGACTTCTTTCAGTTTGCTCGTATAAACCAGTAACACGGTCACCCTTACAAAGTCAAGAGTGAACGCACACGGCTAGATCGCAGGAAGGTTTTCTTCAGCGGGTTGTCCGAAAATGGAACTCGCTAACAACCGAGACTGTGACTTTCGATGAGATTTGCATGTTTAAAAGAAAACTTGCTCGCTTAATTTTCGACAGAAATCGGCTTTTACAGCATGACTTCTCACAGCCAGCCGTGTAAAACACTGTCGTACACAACCCGTCCGCACTGACTTACAGTGAACTGGTGCGCTTTATTATCATCACGATTTTACGGTTATCCGATCACCTTGTAAAAGTCTGCAATTGTATTTTGAGTGCAAATCTGCGAAGTTATTGTACATAAGTAGGGTCATCAAGGGCACTGCCTCAGACCCTCAATTACATACATTTGCATATACAATAGAAGCGAAGGTGAAGGTGAGCCAAACTCCTAGTCGACCATTTTCTTTCGTGATCGTTTCAGGAAACCAAAAAAAGGATTCCACGGAGAATAAGGATTATTGGTCCGTTAAGATCATCGAGACTGAGCCACCTAAGAATTTGACCAAACAGAAATTGGCGGTAGACGGAAGCTCTAGGAAGTGGGCGCTGAATGGCTAATCCTAAATCTTAACCCCAAACCTTAACCCTAGCCCTAAAACCTGAATCCTGTTGTCAAAAGTAAAACTCGAACCCTAACAATAATTGTGAATCATAATCGCAGCTTTCTGCGTAGCACCTCAAACGGGAAGTATCCGCAATCAGCATTACGCCCGATTAAATAAATAACACTGCGAAAGTGATAATTTGG